ATTTATGCCTTGAAGAGATGCTTTTTATTTAACTTACTATTATTATAAATGCGAATGTTTAGATGGATGTGATGTGGATGCTACACTAATTATTTTTTTTATATATCCACGCGGATGGAGTCGCGGGCGACACCTAGTATGAATTATATATAATTACTTTAATCAAAAACAATTGCAGTTCACAAAATTAAATACCAAAGTATATAAATAAAATTTAATAGAGTACAATTTAAGCCCTTTCAAATGTCTAAGGCAGACAAAATCAAATAAGTTAGACAATTTCTGAAATGATATTAATATTCGACGATGTACGACAGACCCGAGCAATTCACGAAATCCTTACCTATCCTCTCCACTCATTCAGGCTATATTCATAAAAATAACTATAATCGTTCGAAGACATCGCTACCGCCCAAATGGCAACTATATGATAATGTATGAACACCCCAAGAATATATAATTAATGTTTAAAATACATAGTTTCACTTTAAACCTATATATCGATATGTTTATACATAACATAAAATAGATAAAGTAATTATCATTGCATTTTAACTCGATTTTAATAATATTATAAATGCGAATGTTTAGGTGGATGGATAGGTGTTTACTCGTATTAGTAGGTATAACCGGAACGGCTCAACGGATGTTGATGAAATTTAGCACAAATGTAGAACATAGTTTGAAAGAATAAGTAGGCGACTTATTAAGTGTATTTTGAATTCCGCGCGTACGAAATAGCGGGCGATAGTTAGTAACAAATAAATTTTGTTTTATTTCATAAGGTGGCGAAGGAGCGAGCAGCCATCTGAAATCGCTGAAATAGCGAACTGACCGGTGCCCATAGACAAACGCAATTCCATATGCGTTGCCCACCTTTAATCGATGAAGGAGAGGAGGATGCACGGAAAGAAAATATTTTCCCTTTCCATGCATCCTCTCATCCGGAAATTCCACTTCTACTTCTCATCCTTTCCTTATAAGAAATAGGATGGATAGGAAAGAGGACTAAATTTGCCCTCCGGTACGCATACTCATCAGACTGTACGCGGAATTGCTTCCACTTTACGCCTGTCTTCTGTATGGTCGTGGTATTTCACCAGGCGAGTCGGGCCAATTCGTGCGAAGATATTAAAGCGGGCTCTACCACCGTTAAAACTGTGCCGGTTAAAAATTTCGTGGCTTTATTTTTACAACAAATTCAAACCTTGCCAGCTGGGCTTTATGTGGCTCAGGTGCCTTATATTTTGTAAAACGCAATGAATATACTCCGGATATTATGATACGAACTTGCTGTGTTAAGCGACGAAAAGGTAAAATTGTTATGCTTAAAGTAGGTTTCCACTACTATTAGACACGTGTGCAAAAGTGTATTATTATCTGTTTTATTATTCTCTTTATTTTTCAAACAGAATAAGCGGTGGGAGAATTAGTTTTTGTATATGTGTTGAAGCAGTGTAAATTTACGTTAAAAGTATGCTAAATTACAGTATATTTAACTAGATTGAAGTCTCAATTGAGAATTGGATCCTAGAAAAACAATTACGTTGGCGTCAACTTTAATTAAAAGCGTTGGTGCAATGGAAATAAAATTAAATGGTCTAGTTAAAGACGAGATTTAAATAATAAAATGTTAAGTAAATAATTTGGTTAGAAAATTTTACTTTTAAATATCATTTTCATTACACGATTAAATACTTAACATAATTTTTATACAATTTTTTCAAACACATTGGAAATATTTTCGCAAATTCTTTTATTTTTATAATTATGAAGCATGTAAGTTTAAATAAAAAGTCTTCTTCTTCATCAGCTCACTATACGTCCTCACCGAGGGGCTCGGAGCCTACCCTAAATTAAGGGTGATTAGGCACTAGTCAACCACGCTGGCCCACTGCGGGTTGGTTTTCACACATATCTTTGTATTTCTTCTCAGATATGTGCAGGTTGCATCACGATGTTTTCCTTAACCGTACATCATCATTACCATCATCATCAGCTCACTATACGTCCCCACCGAGGGGCTCGGAGTCTACCCTAACTTAGGGGTGACTAGGCCATTGTCAACCACGCTGGCCAAGGGCGGGTTGGTTGACTTCACACATATCGTACCGTAACCGTACGAACGACGGATAAATGTACATATTTACATATGTATCGCAAATCGAAAAACACATTGGTACATGGCGGGAACCACCGACGCTCTAAAGAAAGAGTATTTATTTTAAATAAATAATTGTTTTTATTTTTTAATTCTCGAAATAAAAACCAATTATATTAAAAAATTTATAAAGAGGTGTAATTTGAAAGCGAGATAAGTCTGAAATGTACTGTTTTTGTACTTGTCATGTCAACCAGACAACCCTTTGTTTGTCTCGCTTTTCTAAACGAACGAATTGTTTGCGATCAGCCTTTCATTTACGAAAAGGGTAAATTATTGTTTATCTATATTGTTGTTCCATTTAAGGATATAAATCAGTATAATTTACACTCAAAAAGCGTAGTATTAAGCTTTAAGTTTATTAAAAGCGTTATATTAGAAATAGAAAACATATAAAAAGAAAGAAACAAAACTAGAACACTGCATAATAGAATTATTACATAAAGGGAATTCCACACGAGCATAGACATTCGAATGCGAACATTTTTTGTGCCGTAATGAAATATCGCGTCGCTTTGCGTCAAAGAAAAGATTTTTCCCTCCTCCTTTTAAACATACCTATAAAAAGAAATGACATTAAGCCTCAATGCCACCATTAATTTAAACTTTATTAAAAAAAAACTTATTATAAATATTTAATATGCAAAGTTCCTAATTTAAAAAGTGGTAAATAAAATATTGAACAAACTGAATTATATTTAGAATCATATCTTTTTATAAACCGGGTTATAAATATCATTTTTATCCGTCCACACAGCGTATTTACATGTCCCCTAAGGATACATATTATATTTCCTTTCCTATAGATTGTACTCGATAGTGTCGTTTGACTGTAATACGTTCCAACACTGCAATTGGCTTTTGAATAATAAATTTCCTTTGTCTTGCTTTCATATAATTGATAGATTTACGTGTTTATTTCTCTCGTATATTCTGAATGTATTTAGAATTTTACCTATTTTTGTAAGTAAATAAAAGCTGGTAGATGGGAATTTGGGATTTAAATACCACAAAAAGGTCCTTAAATAATATACTACTCAAAACAAATTAACCACTAAGTTTTTTTGGTGTACCATGAAAACAATAAAGATATTATATTGTTTAACTTATGTAACTATAAAATAATGTTATTGGTTATAATATAGGCTAACAATTGTTTAAAATAATAATCATGAATTATTAATTAATAAGAACTTTTAAACCATAGTAATTAACAAGATAGAAAGTGTTTATTTTTAGTAATTAAAGTAAAAGTTTTGACGCATAACCAAAATTGAATTTAATTTAAGAAAACAGCACCGCAAAATTTCAAACAGTAAACATAAAACGTAGACGTCTAACAGAAGCTGTAAACAGTGAAAGTATTTTCAAAGAAATGCTAGTTTCATACGAGGGCAGACAGTAGAACAGTGAAGTATTGCTATTGTTTGAACGCAAACTTATTCTTAAAGCTCTAGCACTCTGTTTTTATATGATTGCAGTACTATCCTGTCTACTGCTCTATCTCAATGTTCCACCCTCGTGTGAAACTATCATAAAGGGGGAACGCGATAAAGTTTTAAGCGAGTTGGCATCTGAGCGAACAATTTTAAGGAAATATTTTCCTTTAGATCAAGTTATTGTTTTAATTTACTTCAGAATGTTATTTATTATAGTTTGTTAGAAAATGTATGAATCTCGATGGGACTTAATAGATTCGTTAATTGGAAATCGATTGCGAAAATTTTTCATTAATAGCACTATATGGCATAAAAGTTTGTTTTGAGCGAGGCGTAAGTCAGTGCTAACTCCACTCTCGATCATTCTGCCATCTGTATTGAGTTGAAGGCAATTTTTCTCCCCATTAACAATAAAACAACATCATAAAAACCTACGATCACGTGACGTCCCTATAATCGCTTTTCGATAAGCGCTAGCACATATTTTTTGCGAACGGTACTTTGCATGGACATTTCCAGACGGATATTGGCAATTTGATTGCGTATGTTACATTTGATCGCTGTTTTAACTCGCATCTTCATTTAGGACTGCGTTTATGTACATGTATAGGTGGGTTTCCAGTGTCGATATACTTGTATACTAACATATCGTAAATAGCTGTCCGCCGCGACTCCGTTTTATTAAAAAAAACATAGTAGCCTATGTGTTCTTCCAGACCATGTTCTATATGTATGCCAAATTTCATCAAGATCTGATCAGCCGTTCTGGAGATACCTTCAAATAAACATCCATCCATTAATCCATCCATCTATCCAAACATTCGCATTTATAATATTAGTATGATATGATTTTACGCGGCAGTGGAATTCAACGATAAGAATTTTTACATCATTTGCTTTGAAACTGGCAAGTTTATAAAGACCAAAGCCTTATAAAAATAAAGAAAAAAAAACGAAATCAACCAGTCAGCTATTGACCGAATAGAACTAACGATCTTTTTTATACTTACTAATGTCAGCAAAACATAAGTAGGAGGAGCCCAAGTCTGATTGATTGCAATAATTTGTGAATTAGATAAACGAATTGTAATCTATGTAGGCTATAATGATCTGTCATATTAAGCGTATATTATTAGGTCAGAAAAGAGAAGCTTACGCGTGTTTTTTATTATATTACTTCGAATGTCATATATTGGAATATTTTAGTCACCTGGAAACTTTTTTCTTTTGTTTCTTTGTTTAACTTAACGATTTATGTTAAGCCGTTTATAATTACTAGGAATTATTTTAAACTTCTAGACAATTTAATAGATAATTCGAATCGGTGAAGTGAAACAATTGAAAAGTGAAAAGAAATGATACTAAAAAGTGAAAGTGATAAAACGAAAATAGCCTGAACAATGTTGAACGGCACAACAGAACGTGCAATATCTCTCCAGTCGTCCCCAGTGAAAGTATCCCCGTCCCCTGTCAGAGCCACATCAAGTCCAGTGAGAACACCTTCATCTCCTTTAAAATCCTCATTATCAGCCTCTGGTAGGCAAAGATCACCTCGGAAATGCCAATTCTCGGCACCAGTAGAAGATGCCAGAGACAAATGCGGAGCGTCATGGCTCTGCCGGCGTGGTGCCGCGACCGGCGAGGAGACGGAACCTGAAAGATCACCGGGGCCGAGTTCATTACCCCAAGGTTGTGAGGATTCGGCACCTCCGCCCAAAAACTGCTTCAGATTAGTTATGCTGGGGTAAGTATTACTATTTATTAATTAATACGTACTTTGTAAAGTAGAAATAGAAACTTGCAATAGATTGTTTTACTACAAATACGGATAGAAGTCAAGTTAGTTAGTCAAGTAGATCGCATGTTTAGATGTCAATTAAAGAACTGAAGGATGGCCGAATATGATGTACAAAAGTCTGAATTTAAATAAAAAGTTAAACGGCCGATCCCTGATATTGTACTTAAAGTAAATCTCAATAAAAAAATGAAATGTTAATCTGGAAGGATTAACAAAATCCCAGGTCCTGCGATTGCTCTTGTTACGGCAATAAATTAACACGGGATCCGGGATAATCTGTTTCGGAACTGAAACAGAAATTCTCGCTCGCCGCCTCGACAAGCCTTATTTGTAATTTAAATTCCCTCCTCATTTCATTCATGCTCGTTGTACGTAATAATTATAATTCAAATAGGACATAATGGTACTTATTACCGCACGCATAGTTATATAATTGGACTTAAACCCGTTAATTACTCACTAAGGGAGGAACTTCCTTATCATTTATCGACGCTGTAAGTGGCTTTTAGATTTTGCGCTTTGTAAAACAAGTAAGCATTATTATTAGAAGAAAACCCTTAAAGGTAAAGTTTCCGCGAACTTAGAGAGAACTAAAGATCAAATCTCAAGATAAGACTTCTATCAAAGTAACCGGATGACTTTGTTTGGGCTTCGATTACCTGTTGCGCGTTTTCTTTAAAAAGAGGAACAAATAATCAGTTAATTTTATATCAAACAGCAACCGTAGTCAACAATATTTAAAACCAGAGCAATAGATTAATTTATTGTCATTTTCATTTATTAAATTGTGAGCAAATTTTCGAAAGTCAACTAATTAATACGTATAGTCTTTATTGTAAGCTTGTTTATATTAGTATGCAGTTCACTAAAATAGTCGATGTTTCAAACCTTAAGGGTCCGTTAAGCTATTAGTAATTCATAACATGAGATAAACAGCTTGACATTGTGGAATCATAATTAATTCTTCTTTATAAGTATCTTAATCTCATTACGTATTCAGCTTTCAACTAAAATGTTGTTAGCGTTAACCTAGAGCTGATAGTGAACGTGATAAAATGGAAGTTATATTTCAAAAAACAATATCGGACAGATAACAAAGCTAGAAGGGAATTCGAGCTTCGGGAGCGGCTCATTTTAATCGCGATACTTCGTTACTATCTGACTAATTGGTGGCGCTGCCGTATACCATGGCAACTTGCTAACGTGCGCCTATACCGAAACTATTACATTTTTTATTGATTGATTTACAAGGCATAAACTTTTTTGTGAAAATAAAAAACTCAATACTTCGTAAAAATACATTTTTTACTGTGCTTACATCGCGGGCCGGGAATTTCCCGTTGAAATCGATTGACCCAAAGGGAAACACCCCACAGACCCTATAAACTCACCATAGATAAAAATCATAAAGACTAACTGCCACACTCAAAGTCCATTAATGATAACCTAAGCGGTTGCTCAGTGTAGATTGTAGATCATGCACCAAGTACCCAAATGTACCTTTTAATGATTAGTAATATTGTTAAATGCATGTCAAATCAATTATATCTTTAAACACCATACATAAACACCAATTTTCTAGTGAAAATTAATGATAATTTCCTTATCTCGTCCACCAGTTCCGCACGAGTGGGTAAAACGTCTCTAGTATCAAGATTCCTCGGTAACAAATTCGAAGACAGCTATACTCCGACCATCGAGGACTTTCATCGTAAGCTGTACAGGATCCGCGGCGAGGTGTACCAGCTTGATCTCCTGGATACTTCGGGGAACCATCCGTTCCCTGCTATGAGACGACTTTCCTTTCTTACGGGTAAGTTTACAAGAAAATTAATTACGCTGATTAACTTTCATTGCATTTGTAGTTATATGTTTCATACAATTGTTTCTGATACTAAAAATCCCTATTTTTTTCTTAAATATTCATAGACTAGCTGACGCCTGCGACTCCGTCCGCGCGGAATTCATAAAAAAAACTAGTAGCCTATCTTCCAGATTATGTTTTGTATGTATATCAAATTTCATCGAAATCCGTTCAGTCGTTTTGGAGATACTTTCAAACATCCATCTAAACATTCGCATTTATAATATTTGTAAGACATTAGTAAGACTAATCTAAGAATAGTAAAATTACTAATAGCATTTTACGAAGTCTGGCAGAACAAAGATATATCAAAGTATAAATTCGGGAGCATTCAACTTAAATTGTCAAGAATCGAGAAAATGTTAGGTGAAGATATGTTTGAGCGAAGGTTCGTTATTAAATTTTCCAATATAAATCCGAGATCGTCTGTGCGAACGTAAGCAATTTCTGAAGAAACTTTAAACTGTGAAATGTTATAAGACGTTTTAGGAAAGTGTACCTAGAATGTCTTCTTTAATAAATAAATTCAGAATTTAATAAATTACATTAGTAATTTAAGCAAGTTAAGTAAACACATAATCAAACAAATCTGTTCTTCAGAATTCAAGCAAAATACTTATACTTACAAAGCCTACAAATTGAGCTTCTGTCGTTCAAAATCCTGAAATCATAGTGTGTACATCAACATCAACTTCCACATCAATAAAGTCTTCAAATTTTTTTTTCTGGAAAGTAATATAATCTGTATAGTAGGAAAGCAAAATATCTTCCAAAAAGACTGTTGAATTTACCCTTGTCCTACTTCCCAGGGGACCTCTTCGTGCTGGTGTTCGCGATGGACAGCCGGGAGTCTTTTGAAGAGGTAATCCGGCTCCGGGAGCAGATCCTGGATACGAAGGCTAGCGCAACCAGCGGTGGTCGCGGACGTAAGCAGGCGCCGCGCGTGCCAATGGCCATTGCTGGCAATAAGTGCGACAGAGATGTAAAGTAAGCTGACACTGTTGCATAGCATTGTTGTACGGTACTTGTATGGACATCCATACTATAACATTAAATACTATATTGAGAATGAGACTATTTCTACTAGGATATTATTAATAATATCGGGTCTATTAAATTCATCATCATCAATACCAATTTTCTTAATGTTTCTGCTTTGGGTTTTTTATAGACGCGATACGGCGTTTATTTTCTTTTCTGATTGTATTACAAATATTAGTAGTGTCAAAGAAATTAACAGTATACCTTATGTACAGGACAGTCCAACCTGAAGAAGCCACCGCGTACTGCGCGACACAAGACTCTGCCTGTGTATTTGTTGAAACGTCAGCAAAGAAGAACTATCGCGTCGACGATCTCTTCTACGAGTTGTTTGTGGTCGCAAATCTTCCTTTAGAAATGGCACCGAATCATCACAAGAGGGTGAGCACGGCGTTTGGTAGTCCGTGCACTTTACCACCGACAAGTAGCCAAAGTAGTAGAAGTAAAAAATGTACTCTATCAATCAAAAGACGATTGTCTGATGCGTGTGGAGTTGTTGCTCCGAATGTTCGGCGACCAAGCATTCGCACCGATCTCATGATAATGAGAACGAAGACATGTGCCAAGGGAGATGGAGATAGCGGGAGTGGCAGCCCCAAGCTCAACCTGAACAGACTGGTCCGGACAAGCGGGCAGAACGATAAGAGGAGTTGTTGCATACAGTGATGAGATTGGTAAACAAATCGTTATGAATATGGCGACTTTTGGATCGGTGCTATTATGAAAATTTTATTCATAAAACCGAACGTAAGGGAATGTTGAAAAAAGATTACTAAAGTATTTATTTGCGACCGTGGGCTTCCACTGTCAAAAATCACACAATTAACAAAACGTCTCGTAATATTCATTATCTTTGAAAAAATCAACTTGTGTATTTTCCGTAATATTTTTGTATGTAAATATAGTAATCATGTTAGACATATTTATTTAATTCCATAGTTTTTCAAAGAAATTGTTTCACTTTCAAAAGCATTTCCGCCATGGACTGAATTTTGAATATTGATGTTAGAAGAAAAGAGACGATGTTAAAATACGTTTAAGATATAAATAAGAAATTAAAAATATATATCGTAAAGTGGCTCTAAATGTTTTGCTAAAAGCCAATTTTTCAAAATGTGTTAATGGATTTAGAAAAGCTTGGAAAATATAAAATTATTTTACTCTGATGAATTCGAAAAAAGAATGTTTCGTCTGTGGTCACGACGGCGGCATTGCGGTGCCCCATCTTATTAAAGTCAGTCACACAGTCTTCATATCAAGTTTTAAATTATTTTCTAATAAAAATAAGTTTCAGATTTGATGGGACCAAGTATAATATCAAAATTCATTTTTTATAGGCCGAAATTTACATTTATGTTAACAGTATGTGCATTTAAAAATATTATGCTGTTGTATTTAATTTTATTTGAATATATTTAATCGAAAATGACTTTATTATGTGCCATATAACTTACTATATGTCTATTTACCTCTATATCGTTTTTGTAGCAACATTATTCATAAAAATATATGTCATTTTATATGCTATTCTTTATATAAGGTGGATAATATTAGTTAACTCTATCTTTACTACAATTCTTCAAATAAATAATTATGTTGCAAATTGCGTTTTATTAACCAATCTTTATCTACATTAAAAGTCAAAGGTTGTTAATGGCCAGTATGTGACCTCTTTGGTTGAATTTTTAATCTTTGTCCACCAAAGAGTTCGGATACGTTATTCTTTACTCAATATGTGGATAAAATGTGTCAACTCTATGCATAGGTTTTGAATAAAAAAGTAAAATATCATGCTTAATAACATATATTTACATTTATGTTGTTTATGAAATACGATAATATTATATACAATCAATACAAATAACAGTTAAATAACTTCTCAATTATGTAATTCTTTCTTTACGTTTTTCAATAGCAAATTAATTAATCGCTTTTGAATGCGCCTCGAATCATTTATATTGTTTATACTTTGCCTTATCTGTGTATCATTTGTTTTTATTTCATCAATTAACAACATAGCTTTAATTTTAAATAATCTAACTTGTTCGTCCGTCATTGTTTCTAATTCTGGTAGAAGACTTAGTAAGAAGAAACGCAAAGCATTTCCATTGATTTTGTTTGAACATGTGATGTGTGACTTTTTACTTTTTTTCTCTGTTTTTTTCACAATTGGAGTAAAGTGTTTACGTCGTCTTGGGACTGTAGGTTTTTCCCTTTGAATTATACATTCAGAGGATTCTGACTGATATTTGATTCTGATTGGTATTTCTTTGTTTATATTTTCATCTTCAGATTGTGCTCCAAGAATTTCTTCTGGTTCCATTTTTACTATTACGTCATTTGTATTCTTGAACGAATCATTTAATTGAAGTTCGTCAACATATTCTAAATTATTTATCGATTTCATAAACGGCAATATGAATTGTAGATAAGCAGTTAAATAGTAAGGTTTTTTATATCGCGTAGTGGGTTTCAAACTTCTTAAAAATGAACATCTTATATTTCGCCATTTTTCTTTGCAGTCGCTAACTGAAAAAGAAAAATTAAAATTAAAATGCAAATCGTTATTTGTAACCGTTGGGTAGAGTGCTGCCATCTCTCGGTGAAATATTCAACATTTCCATATAACACAGTGAAGTATGACGTTATTATATTATCATCGCAATCGCACTCTTTAATCAACAACAATCATTTAAGCAACAGGACATGTTATAAAACTCTACATTTTAAACAGAGGATACAAAATACTTGAACAAAGTTAATTCTAATTCAAAATACGGATTATGAGCTTTATGACAAAGGGTATAAAGGCAGTTATGCTTTGAAAATATACCTGTCAGATTGTTATTATGTGCGACTTGCGCCCATGCTTCTTCAGCGAGATCCTTGCGGTTATATTCGGGCAAATAACTGTTGTAGAGACACGGATATTTCTCTATTTCCTGGACTAGAGCAATTTCTGCTGACATGGTGTACATAACACGGAGCTTGCGTTGTTTTTACGCCGCATGCGAGGCGGTTACTGACGAGAGAATGTTGTAATCGTGTCGCGCCGCGCACTCCCCGCGCCGCGTCTACCCCGCGCCTGCCCCGCACGATCCCCGCGCGTGTCGCATGACGCCAGTTCTGGCTCCGCAAAGTCGCGCCGCGCCGTACCTGCTACTCCCCAGCGCCGCATTCTCCTCGCACTGTTGTTTTAACCGATACTTTTTTGTTTCAACTTGTGGTTATATTTGACTAAACAAACTATGACCGTTTACTATTACATCTTCCTGTCCTTTTCTCTTTCGAATGACTGCACAATTGACCATATCGAAAAAAATAATCTGCGATTTTTTTTGTATACTTCAAAAGTATATCTTAAAAATTATTCAAACCTTTCGTTTAGCCGTTTTTATATAAGTTTATATCTTAAAAAAATCGAGTATCGTTGCAGAAAAATTTGAAACTTTTTTTCCAATAAATTAAATAACTCATAAGATAAAAGTTTAAAAAATACCAAACACGTAAAAGTTCTATGTAATGTTTCGATTTACGACAAACAAAAAATAGAAAGAAAAATACTCCTCCATATGTCTCTATATGTCTTCATATCAGTTCACTCCGTTCTTGCATATCCTTTTGCACACAATCCAACTTATAACTAACAAACACTTTCTTAAGTCTATTACCGGTTACTATTATGAGATATCATGATAAACAATTTAAAAAGTAAAGAATATTATCCTGTACTTAAACAAATTATCGTTTTTTTAGAATAGCAACAATGGCAACATTAAACACAGGCACTAGAGAAGCGAGCGCCGGCCGTTGCTTTGGCTAGCGGCTTTAATTGCGGGGATCCGATCTAATTTTCTCTCTCGGATTGAGGTCGAGGGTTTCAGTTTGTGGTTTAACGACGACAACCACATTATTTGCGAACATTCTCTGATTTGCGAACCCTTCAAACATTCATGTAATTTTTATGGATTGACTTTCGACTCTTGTACAAATATAAATTTAATTATGACAATCTATATCCATTATCATTAAGTTATTAAAAGCTAGCTGGTTTGGACTATCAGATGAAAAAATAATTTATCAAATTCCAACTCTATTTCATACGTTCAGCGCATTCAATCATTTAAACTAACATATCTTAAGCTTTTAAGTTTAGATACACGAAGCTATTTGAATTAAAGTTCAAATATATTAGGATTAATAATTTTAAATTATCAAACTGTGGTGTCATTCAGCAGCACAGAAACACGAAAATCATTTATTCCCATCTTATAGTCGAAGCGTAGCATTGCTCGTAAAACTTATAAATTAGACGAGTGTAGAATCCCGATAGGACTCGTTTAATAAATCGCTCCATTGGGCAGAATTAACCTCGGCTTCGTATATTATAGGGTAGTAACTGTAACTATAAAGGAAATATAAAATTCTTATAAATTATTAAATATTTCTGTAATCCAGTAATAAGCAGACAATATTATTCACCACCACTACTAATTAATATCAATAGATGGCGCTAATTGCTAAGGAATGTCTAAAGTTCTTGGTCAATTTTTTGACTTGTATGGCTTACTAACTATCGTGACTCAGTCCGTGCGGAATTAAAAAAAAAACATAATCAGCCTATGTGTTCTTCCAGACTACGTTTTATATGTACATATTATCTATACATATACATTTAATCGAGAACCGATCAGCCGTTCTGAAGATACCTTTTAATAAACATCTATCAAAACTTTTGAATTTATATAAGTAAGATTAAAGGTGACGGATTTTAAGCAAGAAGTGACACCACTTGTTATAACCAAAATAAACATTGCATATTTGAAGGAACAACTTGACGAGTTTTTTACAAACTTAGCTTTAGAAAGTTTTACATATCTTTCATGTCTATTATATTTCCTCATACTTTCATATCGTGTGCAGTACATAATAGCTAATGATATGCCGTTCTGAAATACCACGAGTCACGTATGTTTACGGGTGCGGAAAAATTTATATTCGTGCGGCGCGTTTAGGGTTAATGTCCCTAGAGGTATTACAAGCACGTCAAGTATTGTACCAATGAATATTAAAATTGTACTTCTTTATTTTTTAATTTAATATCCTAATACAACTAGTTGTCTCCTGCGACTTGGTACGCGTGGGATTAGAAATAGATAATAGCCGATTCTTAAACCTACTGAATATACATATCAAATTTAATAAAAATCGGACAAGCCGTTTCGGATGAGTATCGTAACTAACATGTAAGAAATTAGTGTTAGGAAGAAAATTGGACACCGTACCGGTATATCGGCGCAACACTAGCCTTATTAAAATGTCAACGTTTATGTCCCCTAACTAATCAATCTGACACTTGACTTTGTAATGAAAGCGCGCCATTCGCGCCAAAGGATTCTAACAAATACTGTCTAAAAGTAGTAACTTATTGTATACCGTCTGTAAAGCAGAGTATCAATATTATAGGTCCTGGTCACTAAATGAGTTCACACTAATATAATAAAAATCCTTGTTTTATCATCATCAGCTCACTATACGTCCCCACCGAGGGGCTCGGAGTCTACCCTAAGTTAAGAGTGATTAGGCCATAGTCAACCACGCTGGCCAAGTCCGGGTTGGTTGATACCTTGTTTATTTCCGACTAATAGAGTACATTGAACATTACCTTTAGAATGTTAAATTTTCCCTATAAAAAAATTATTCCTTAAAAAAATCCTATAATTATAGATGTTACTAGCTATCGCCCGCAACTCCGTCCGCGCGGGATTAAAAATAGATGTTGGCCGATTCTCAGATCTACTCAATATGCTCACAAAATTTCATGAGAATAGGTCAAGCCGTTTCGGAGGAGTATGGGAACGAAAATTGTTACACGAGAATTTTATATATAAGATGTAAAAGCTTTTGCTACGAAAGTCGCCGGATATACTTAGTCCTGTAATAAGTAGAATATGTAAAAGTGGTATAGGTAAGTGATGTACACGGTTAGTGAGTAATAAACGCCTCAAGGGTAAACAACCCTTTTAATATTAGAGTAGAAAACTCCGTTGGTTAAAGTACTTTGCTTTTTGCCTCAATAATATTATATGAAAGCGTTACATTACACTTATATTAAAATAAAGTGTAACATTTTTTGTTATGAAATACTAATCTTATATATCAAGTCAATCTAAAATTCAAGTGCAGGTTATATTGGGACTCAATACCACGACTGCCCTGAGGCAAGCCGACAGGACGTCGTGGAGGCAGCTGGTCGACACAGCCGTTAAAACATATCAAGACAAGCACGACCTTCAGAAGAAGAAAAAGTAGATATAAAATTCTCGTTTCAAAAGATTTTTGATTTAAATATTTATGATATTTTATATGCATGTTTAGTAGATCTGAGAATCGACTACTATACTGCGCGGGCATAGCCGCTGTCGGCAGTTAGTATGTATAAAAATTCTCTTGTCACAATGTTAGTTACCATACTGCTCCGAAACGGCTTAAGTGATCTTTATGAAATTCATTTAGTCTGAAAATCGACTGGCAACTATTTTTTGATCGGACGGAATCGCGGCCGACAGTTAGTTTCAAACATTCGGAAGTCCTTATCTGCAAACGACTGCTTTCAAGTTAGAGTATAACACTTGAACGATCAAGAGAATTTCGTATCGACGGAATCAACACAAGCGAACGAAATACAAGTCCCTTATCGTTTCAGTACCGGTTGTATTACAGAGAAGTATTGAATCAACCACAAATTCACTCAACTGATTTATAAGGGTAATATAATATGTTGAGTTCCTTGATAAATATCTTGCAAAACAAACGATCTTCCTTATATTTTCTTTTGATAATTAAAACATGGCTTTATCCTTAATATAAACTTATCAAATGTCAGAATTTCATCATATCATGGCCAGAAAAAAGACGATATAAATCCCGGTTTTCTAAAAGAAAACCAAATACTTTAAAAGTCTGACATAAATATTAGCAGATTTGTTAATTTATTAATATTTCTTGTACCATTCCAACTAAGCTCTATGCTTCTGCTGGGATATGGTTTACGACAACAGTCGAATCGCGGGAATCGAACCACCGACTTTGTGATCGAAAATCCGTACCCTTAACCATTAGGCTATTGACGGTTCAAAATAATAAAAAAATATTGACAGATTGTTAATATTCATTGACGAATCTAAAATAAACCACCCTTAGTTTTCTTTTCAATTATTTTTGTATTAAAAACAAATATGTTTCCTAAGAAAATCACCATCCAATAGTGTTCTTAGCTTAAGCTCTATTGGTTTAAGTGTCGAATGAAGCTTGTGTGTCAACAATGACCTACTGGATTTGTTTGCATAGTCTTACTGCCCTCACCCGTCTCCCCGCGACCTCACCCCGCCGGCGTAGCTGTCACTTCACAGAGAGACCACGACAGGTTCACAAACACGATCGAAATTTGCAATTCCGTGACGTAATGTGCTGTTAGAATCTGTTATTAGCATAGTTCACATCTATTAAAATGTTAAATATATCATCACTGTACTACAAAATCAATGCTTAGTATGATAATAATTAAAACTATTAGATAAACGAGCAAAGGGACACCTGAATTCGCCGAAATATCGAAGCGACCGTTGCCCATAGATATACGCTATTGCAGATGTGTTGCTTACTTTTTATCGTCAGAGTAGACGCGCAGACAGAGAATATTTCCCCTTCTTTTGCGTCCCCTCTTCCATCAAATCCACTTTCCCTTCCCATCCTTATTCCATAATATCTTTGTTAACCTCATATATGGTTTAGAAACTAAGCGACAACGATAAATTGTAATCATTCAATTCGATAAATACATTATTAGACTTAAGTTTTAAAAACTCTATTGCCGAAGCAGTTCTTATATAATTAACCTTATAACTATCTAACTAACCGTAGGTTTCTGATACCGGCATTGTTGTCACTTTTTTGTCAAAGATGAAAGACAAGGATCTTAAAAGTTTTATATAAAGGTTTTAGTCTCAGAAACCCACAGTAACAACTGTAATTTAA